AGGGGATGGTCATGCCGCAATCCCTTCTCCTCCATTCTCCTCTCGGGATCTTGGGCATGCACGCACACGCGCCCGGCGTGAGTTTAAACCACTGGGTCTGGGACGTGAACCGCGGTCGACTACGTGGGAGTCTGGCTGCTTAGCCATTATGCTAACTGCTGGTTCCCTGCATGTGCAAAATTCTAAGAGGTGACTGGAGGAGAAGGGATTGGTGATGTGGCCATCTCCCGAGAATGGTGATTTCTTATTTTTTGTATCTCTGTGACTTTGTCTTTCTCTTGCGAGCTTGTGTGCCCTATAGCAAAAAATCTCTAAAAAAAAAAAGAAGAAAGAAATATTTTTATCTATAAAATATCTGCAGAGCTCTGCCCAAGTTAACTGTGTGTTCCTGCTAAGGTTCCTTTAAGTGCCTCAGAGAATAGGTTATAGTAACTGTTTCTGATTTGAGACCCAGTGCCACTGAATATAGTTTCTTTTTAGGTTTTTGCCTAAAAAGGTTTTGTGTGAACTCGCTAGAAAGAGACAGAGATAGAGAAAGTGAGAAGTCAACCCCCAGGGGGTATGACCACACTGCAATCCCTTCTCCTCCATTCTCCTCTTGGGATTTTGGGCATGCACGTACACATGTCCAGTGTGATTTTCAAGCTGCCGGGTCAGGGCTCAAACCACAGTAGCCCAAGTGGCAGTCTAGCACTTTAACCACTGTGCTACCAGCTGGCCCCTGGAATATATTTTCCAAGCCACGTAATACTATGGTTAAGTGTAAGAAAATAATTCCACAATCAGAGGACATCTGACATAAAACCGACGTAGGGCCATCTCTCGCAGCACAGTACGAGGCAGAGAAGGCAGCAGTGGCAGCCCGAGCACTCACGTAGCAAGGCAGGCGCTGCCTCCTGGACAGGGACTTTGCTTTCTGGGACACGTGTGCACCTCATTCCATGAGAACCTTGGTTCCAGAGTCAGGAGAGGGCCGAACGTCTGACTGCAGTTCTCATATCATGGATCTCAGTCCATCTTTCTTTTCTCCCTGATGGTTTTTACAGTCCCTTCATGCTGGCATTTGGGGAAGTCTAATTTATAACATAAGTAATTTAAATAAACAAAATATAAGACCAAAATAAAATTTCCCAGATCTTATAATCATGCCTTTCCCAATTATTTTTTTTTTACTTTCCTTTTCTACATTTATTATTTTTTCATTTGGGGGACTTAACTGAAAGATGAGTCATGTGAATCTTTTTTCTTTAATTTTTAATTATTTTATTTAATTTTATTTATTCATTCATTTATTTTAGTTTGACCAGAAAGAGAGAGAGAGAGAGAGAGAGAGAGAGAGAGAGAGAGAAAGGAAGCCACCAGGTCTGGGACTCGAACCATGGTTGGCCATGTGGGAATGTCCAGCACCTTAACCACCATGCCACCTGCTGGCCCCATGTGAATCTTTCAGTACATATTATTACAAATAAAAGTTTATGCTTGAACTGTTTATAGAGTAACTATTATGTGTGGGACAATGTGTTAGACCTGTAGGTATAATGATGAGCAGGATTGGATAAGTATCAGCTTTGTGGAGTGTACAGTCTGAGTTGGGAAAAAAAAACTAATTAAAGGATCAGAAACATTGAGTCATTGGAAAAGTCATGATGCATTTTTGCATAGAAAAATACATCATGACTTTTCTGAGGACCCAATAGCTATCAAATTACAGTCGATAGCATTTGACCATCTTTTTTGTTGAAATGGTTTCTTCCTTTGTCATGTTGAGGACCGCACCATTTTCATGTGTCACTGGCCACTCCTTTCTTGTTTCCTTTGCTAAGTCATTCTCGTGTTTTCTGTTTAAATGTTGGAGTACCCTAGGCCTTAACCCTTGATCCTTTTCCTGTCTAATTTTCCTAGATAGTATCAGGTGGTTCCGTGGCTTTAAATAATATCTATTGATAATCTATATGCTGATGACACTCAAATTTGTATGTAGACTCACTGTTTCTTCCAAACTCCATAAAAATTTCAAGTCTCAATCCTCAAACTCAGTGCTTTCCATTTCACCACATTTATCCTATAGCTCAGGACAAAAATGGGTTATCTTTTATTCTTTTCTTACTCTCACAGCTTTCATCTAATCCATTAACAAGGTCTGTAGGGAGGTACAAGAATGTACCTCCAAATTATGTCCAAATCCTACCACCTCTTACCACCACTGTTACCTTGCTGGCTACTGACAGTACCTTTCTAGCTGGTTATCTGCTCCTTACACCCTCATCCCCATCCCTATTTATGGCATCTGTTGTCCACTAAAGAGTCAAAGTAATCTTGAACCTTAAACAGACCTGTGCAAAATCCTACAGTGAAGAAGTCCTGATTTGGGGTCTGGGGTAGAATAGGTCCAAGTTGAATTTCAGAGGATAGGATACCAATAGAATGAGAAATGATATGGAAAAAAGGAAGCCATAATCATGAAATTGAAAATGGTGTGGCCCAGACTCATGGTGCAGTTGGTAGCAAACTAAACTGCAGTTGCAGTGCTAGAAGCCACTTTGTTGACCATGAGTTCAGATTCCCAGGTTGGCCTGAAAACATACTAGGTGTTTACACGTGTGCTTAAGAATCCCAGGTTGCTGGAGGGCCTTGGGAGAGACTAGCACGAGACCCTGTGGAGGGCGCTTCCCTTTCTCTCTGTCTGCTTCCTCTGGCCGACTCTGCCTCCCTTGTGCACACTGGATGACTGTCATGAATGAAAGTAAATTATCTTTTTTTAAAAAAAGAGTGTCATTTACTTTTTTTTAATTAAAAATGGTGATTATTGAAAGAAATGGTAAAGATTTTAAGATTTTTTTTCCCCAAGATTACATAAAAATTTATGAATTTGAAGATAAAAAATGGTATTATGTAATATAAATCAAACTAGTAGGGTAAATCTTTTTGATAAATAATGTATATGAACACACACATTTTAAGAATTTTTCAAACTCACCAAAAAAATATATATATTGGAAGAAAGAACAGTAACTTGTACATACCCTTTACCTAGGGCACCAACTGTTAACACTTGTCACTTATGTAGGTTGAACTACATATAAATGTGGTGGGGTTTTTTGTTGTTTTTATTTAAATAAATGACTAGATGGTTCAACATAAAACATAAATGCAAATACACATACACACAATATGCATTTCCTTTTGCCAAACCATCTGAAAGTAGGTTATAGATAAGAAGCTTCATTAAGTATATTCCAGAAACATAAATATTCTCCTAAATGCTACAAACCTGCCAACATTAATTTAACAACATTATCCACATATGTATAGTCCTTATTCAAATTTCTCTATTTGAATTATCAGTTTGTTTTTTTAAATCATACTACGAAGTCATTTCAGGAGCCTGGGGTGG